CACGTTGTAAACTAACGAAATTCAGTGCGGATTGCAATGGACGGTGTTCATCGTACTTATCGATTGTTTTTCAGATGCTAAACACATTCACGGTTTTCTTGAATAATCAGACGAACAGCGGAACATCGTAATAACTTATAAAAGACACCTTTATCATAAAGACTTGTATATATTATGCAAAAGAAGCTGAGGAACGGAAATCAGGTCATGATGGACTGGCAGATATTGACAATAGAACTGTTGCAGTAAGAAACAAATCGGGTGTTCTTCGCTCTTTTCTTCTTTTCTGTTCAATATACATACTAAGCAGCAAAAGAAACGCCAGTTAGGAATTTTCCGTCCCAGAGACGGATAACTGTAAACTCACTTAATGTTTGATTGTATATGTTTGACAACATCTCCAACTTTACCTGAGCAAAGACATTCCTTCTTAAACTCAGAATGGAACCCAGGAAAGGTCTCAAAAACGCAACCCGATCTCGGAGATGGTACGGTGTTCTCCATGTTTTTCATGCAACTCCTGCTGCACGTACTGTTCACATGTACCAGCCCTATAAAATGCACCCCAAACCTGGTTGAAACAGTCACATTACAACGTCAGCAGGATGCCCCTTCTCACGACAGCTCAGAGGAACCAGGCTCTAGGAAGACTTGAAGCTGGCCGCACTGCACAATCACTTCCAGGTCAACGTTCGGACCATCTACAGGCTGCCAGCAATGTTTCCAGGCCACAAACACCACAAAAGATCGCCCCCTTACTGGCAGACCAAGGGTGACCACAAGACGACAAGAGCGCCATGTTGTGCAGGCATCCAAAACAGCATGCCAGACAGTGGGAACACATGGAATACAAATCAGTACTGATACAGTACGGCGACGTCTTCACAGCGGGAACATCCATTGCCAGAGACCTTACCGTGGACCTATCCTCACCCCGAGTCATCGGCGTGAATGTCTACAGTTTGCCCTACTACACCAAAACTGGCGATACAGGCAATGGAGAACTGTTCTGTTCACAGATGAGAGTCGGTACTGCGGATCAACTGCAGATTGCAGAACAAGAATATGGCGACGACGTGGCCAGCGTTACTCAGACCAATGTGTTATGGAAAGAGACTCATGGGGAGATGCAAGCATCATGGTATGGGGTGGAATAGGCCTGAACCAGAGAGTGGGTCCTGTGGTGTTCCAAAACCTTGGTCCAGGGAGAGGAGGCGGCATCACAGCAGTGCGCTACATCGACCAAGCTCTCAGACCCCACGTCATACCACATTTCGCACGTCACCGGAACAACATTTTCCAGCATGATAATGCCTGGGCCCATACTGCCAGAGCTGCACGGGACTTCCTACAGCAGAACGGTGTCAACATTATGCAGTGGACAGCCCTTAGTCCTGATTTAAACCTTATTGAACATCTTTGGGATGAAATTCAGAGGAGACTGAATAATGTCAAACCAAGGCCGAACACAGCCGATTTATTGCACCAGGCCTTTCTCAGAGTGTGGTTCCAGGTGCCAATGGCCTTCATCAATCAATTGGTGCACTCCATGCAGATACACTGTGCTGCAGTTATTGCCGCTCGTGGTGGTCACACTAGATACGGAAGTCAAAGAGTCTGAATGGACTGCAAACGTTCACGTAATGTCTTGAAATTGAGTTATTCATTGATGTGTCAAGATATTGTACACAAAAAATGTTTTTGATCTGCTTATTATTAGGGGTGTCGCGATACGCGAATGTATCGATGCATCGATACATTTTTACTGACGATAACGATATCGCGATACATGCTTGCGTGTATCGATTCCTATTTTAAAACTTTATCGATTCAAATTTTTAAGCTATATCCATCTCATTCAAAGTCTTGATAGTAAAATTATACGAGACCGCTCCGATAAATAGATGTAGCTAGCTTTACTTAAAAAATAGGTTGGAAACTAACAGCTTTTGTGATTGGCTAGACTATTTTGATGGACCAATCAGCGAGCGCCTAGTTGCCGTAAGGTAATGCTATGAAAAGGCGCGAAAATTATGTATCGCGATACGTATCGTATCATGACCTTAAAATCGTGATACGTATCGTGAGATTGGTGTATCGTGACACCCCTACTTATTATGTCCATTTCTGTAATGATTTGATTACAGTGCCTATCTAATTTTGAATTCGTACTGACGTTTTGTTGCTGCTGAGTATAGTTGCATGAATTTGTAGAAATTTAGCTATGGTTTAAACAGCTCAAACTTGACACTGGATATTTAACGGCTAAAGAAGTTTAATTGCTAAAGTATTAAATAAAGTGATGGCTGATTCTTAGTTATTTTTTAAACCAAATCTCAGTGACTGAATCCAAGCATTGAGTGTATTCTTGTAAGAACAGAAATATATGGATTTTGCATTCTTGCTCCAATAGAATTAGAATCAAACCATTCCAACATCTGGGTTTTACATTGGTTGGCCGATTTGTTGTTTAATGCCGCACCCAGCAATATTCCAGCTATATGAGGGCAGATGGTAAATAATTAAGTCTGGACCAGACAGTCCAGTGATCAGCATCACGAGCATCGATGTACGCAATTGGGATACGATGACATGTGTAAACCAAGTCAGCAAGCCTGACCACCCGATCCTGTTAGTCGCCTCTTACGACAAGCATGGGTTACTGAACACCAATTTTAACCTGGATCTTCACGGGTAGGGTTTTACATTGACCTACAACACTAAAGGTCCAGAGCCTCCCTTATTACTGATTTCAGGGGCCCTGTAAGTAAAGAAGGGTCCTGTAAGACTTCATAAACACCTTTTAACTACAGAAACCTTGTATTTCACGAACTCTGTATGACTTTAACTGTGCATCCGTCGGAACGTTGCACACATTATTTTTTTGGCCATTCTAAACATTTGCTTGTACTGGAAGCACAATTTTGTGTTGCATAATACATCCATATTTCTCTGTCCCTAAGAGGTGACTAACAGGATGGGGTGGTCAGGCTCGCTGATTTGGTTGACGTATGTCATTGTATCCGAATTGTGTAGATTGATGTTGATCAGTGGATTGTCTGGTCCAGGCTCGATTATTCACAGACTACTGCCATATAGCTGGGATATTGCTGTGTGTGGCATTAAACAAAAAAAATCTGTTTAAGGCATACAAACTGAAATGTGAGGCATGTGAACTCCGTACTTTGGAAGAGCAGCAAATACGACTGAAATGGTCTCAAAACACAGGGCTGTTCTTACATGTAAACTAGGTCGTTGAGTGAGTGAGTTAAGTTTACGCCACTTTTAGCAATATTCCAGTAATATCACGGCAGGGGACACCAGAAATGGGTTTCACAAATTGTGCCCATCTGGGGAATCGAACTCAGGTCTTCGGCGTGAAGAGCAAACGCTTTAACTACTAGGCTACCCCACCGCCCCATTAGGTCGAAGATACCTTGATTATCAGTGTCTATACTAACCTGAACATCACACTGTATAATTGATGATCGAAAATTTATTCCACATAATCTGTGCAGACATACTCAATACACAGTGAAAAAGCATACAGCACTCAGTAAATCATGACATGTTCAATACATATTCAACGACGAGCATGATTTGAGGTGAGGTGAGGTGAAATTGGGTTTAACGTCGTGCTTGAGAATATTTTGCTCATATGACGACGTGCATGCGTGTGTATGTGTATGTGCAGCTGCTTGTACTAGCCCAGACTGAAGCTGGTTTTATAGTGCTAGCCCACTGAGATACCATACCGCAGTGAAGCATGAATACCCCACTCAGACACATTATACTGACTCCAAGCCGACCAGTCCTTGTTGTTGCCATTAATGCCGAGAGCCAGACAGGGACCAACAAGTACCATATTTTAACGTCTTTTGGTATGACGCGGTCGGGGATCGAACCCGCGACCTTCCGCTCTCCAGGCGGATACTAACCACTACACCACGGAGGCGGTCGAGCATAATTTGAAGAAATAGTATCAGCAACATATTTAGGCATTAAGACAATGATTATTCACAGTGGACATGCTGCCATGGTCTATTTGTAAAAGTTTTGTAAACGGTATGTGCGTAAATGGGGGGTTTATGAGTGATTGTATAGGAAATTCATGCCTTTCAAATGTTTGGTTTACAATTGTCTGTGATAATTCAGTTTGGGTATGTGAGTTTTTCATATTACCATTATGTTGTTAGTTGTCCAATTATATCTATATTAATTATGCTAATGAAAGCCCTCATGTGTTGGAAGATTTGTCACAATGATGAAAGGGAGACACTGAATAGTCAACCATATTAAGTTTAGGAAAATAATCACTTGCTTCATAACGGTGTTAGTAACTACTCCAAAACGTCGCACTCGTTGCAATACAGAAGTTGACTATCCATAGAACTTGGTTTTCATTCATCTTTACAACTTCCAAAATGCCTTTCAAAGAACGTATCTACTTGGATGTAATCGCATGCTAGTCAAAAGAAGAGTGAAGGTGTAAAACTGGAACAAACTGATATCACTACTGTTCATATTGTTCTAAACACATCTGTGCTGATGAAATATTATGGAAAATTGCTTTATTGTGCATTAGATTTCTTTGCTATAACTGTGAAAACATGATGCTGTGTTGTCACCATGCTGATGCCTCGCATCATAGTTTTTTTTATAAATATTCATAGACGATTTTAATCTGTGAGTAAATGAGTGAACGAGTTTAATGCTAGTTATATAACAATCAACTATTATATATTTATTGCAGGGCTTTAGATTTTTGTTTCAAACAAATGTTTTCAGTAACGGTTACAATCTTTTTTTTCTATGAAAGGAAATAGTCATCTAATGATACTAAAGCATTAATCACACCATTGTTCAGGTTATCCAACATGACCAGGGGAAAAGGTACATGTATTGCTCTTTTGTCATGCCCGACACAAATATTAATTTTTGAACCATCTACTGCAGCATCCCCAGAGTATTAATTGTGTTTGAGACTGAAGCATGCTTACCTGTAGTACACCACTGCCCCATCCTCTGTCGTCCTCCTCCAGCCAAACGGCACCTTAACAATCTGCAAACTCTGTTCAATGTCTTTGGATTCCATGGAGTCCTGTTCGCACTCAGTTCCCTCAGAATCTGCACCATCACTTACTTTGGGCTTAGTGTGGTGTGAAGCACAACCAGATACAGTGACCGATGGCACTGTCTCCGCCCCCGGGGTTCGTCGAGGGCTCTCTCCAGCTCCTTCTGAAGGTTTGGTCACAGCAACCGACGTAAGAACGGAAGGAACCGTCACATTCACATGTGCCATTGCAGTGGTCAGGGGTGAACTGTTACAGTTGGTCATGGTGATCGTGGTGGTAGTTTTAGTCACCTGGTTACAAATGGCCGTCACCTGAGGACCAGGTGTTCCTACATGGGGAACAGGATGTGACTGGCCAGGTGCTTTAGCAGTATGTTGATCATTGACACCAGAAACACTCTGACTGACTGCCGGAACGTTTTGACTTCCATATATACAGTTCTGCATTCTCTCCTGGGGGAAATTTTGATACATCCTAGAATGGTTCACAACGGTCGGATTCTGAGCTTGGTATTGATAGCTGATGTTTTGTCCACGTGGTCCCCCCGCCATATTTGGACTTAGGGCAAGTGTATTTTGGAAACCCTGCATATGCTGCTGGTTGGGGTAGAAGTTCTGCTGGTGTGGGGGAGGCTGTTGTACAGTATGCTTCTGAATCTGCTGTTGCTGGAAGTGTGACCACAAGTGACCAATGCTTGGAAGGGAGGTCTGATTGCTCTGGTTTGGACCGACCCAGTTATTGAAGTTCTTGTAATTCATCCCCGGTCTCTGGTTGGGTGGGAATCCTTGGTTATGTCCACCAAAGCTTTCCATTGGGGGCAGGGAGTTGAAAGACATGGGCGATGACATAGAGATGTTGACCCCCATTGGAAAACCAGCTTGGGCTCCTGGATTGCCTTGATGGTGAGCCAGTCCGACATTGTGATATGAAGGAACAAATGCATTTCGGTCAACCGGCATCTGTGGTATCCCCTGGCCTGGTTTCATGGCCCCTTGAGCCTCACCCATCCCCATATACTGAAAGTGACACACATTGGTGGCATTTGCCAATCCCTGGCCATAGTTTGACACTCCAAATTTCAGACCCTGACCATTGTCAAAGTTCATGTTTATATCTGGTAAATAAGGGTGTCTATGTAAATAGAAAGTCTTTGGCTGTGAAAGAACACATTTTCACTGTCTCACGTCATCTTTCACAAATTAACATACATGTACGTTTCCACTTTGATGTCATTTCTACAGAGAAGCTTTCAACCATGATATCTTCCATGACCGGAACATCTGCGAAAAAAACAACGAAACTTTATTTACACATTATTTCTTACATCCCTGCATGAAAACATTTTGTGCAAGCAATATAACAGCATGTTTACAATGATTTGTATGTATGTATCTGTATTTGTTCAACAACGCACTCAGCAACATTCCAGTTACATGAAGATGACTTATAAGTGAGTCTGGACCAGCCAATCAAGAAGATCTGGGTTAGAATTGGTCTTCAGCAACCCATGCTTGACAGAACAGGACAGACTTGCTGACTGGTTGATGCATGTCATTGTGTCCTCATGATCACTCGATCTTCTGGTCCAAACACGATTATTTACGGACTGTCATAATATTGCTGAAACATTGCTCAGGACAGCATTTAACAACAAACAACAAACATCAAACATAACATCACGTAAATGGATTATAATGACACACCATCTACCCTTTCACATAGCTTTATCCATTTTGACGCTTCTTTGGACAAGCATATTGTGGGGACGTATTCTGAACCAGAATCCTGTCAACTAAAACCTGGATGCAACTGAAACTAGACTGACAAAGAAAACTAACAGCTGATAATACAAGCTTCTAGAACACGACAACACACACTTCGAAGGTTACACACTGTAATACCCAAAACTCATTGTAGTGGGCTCTCATGGCTCATGCCTTTTTGGAACCAGTTCTTCCTGAGAATGTCACTTGACACATAAAATCTTTAGCATCTTAGTCAAAATTTGTTCATCAATGTGAAACAAAACACTCATTTCTGTCTGCACATCTGATCATAATGTCTGAAACATGCATCAAAAGCTTCCTAATGTTCTTAATTAAAGGCAACAGACATAAACAGTAAGGACACTGACAAATTGTCAAAATTTGAAATTTAATCAGTTTTTGGATGTCTGTTAAAACTGGTAATTCTTATGATAAATAACAATGAATATATACAGAAAAGATTCTGATCACTTTTGGAAAAATACAATAATACTACTTTGCCATTTCAATTTCTACATAACAACCCAAACCTTCCGGCACCAGGATAGTGGAACAGTATGAACTACATTATAACTGTTTTTCATCAGTAAACAGTAAATAACTGGTGACTCAATAAATCAAAGTATCTGTGTTTCTCCCTTGATCAAATCCTTCTCATGCCTTGAGTGGATACCGAGTAAATTGGTGCCCAGCAACCTAGGTATGTCTGAAGAAGTGAGTGATTGAGTTGGGTTTTACGCCGCCGCTTCTAGCAATATTCCAGCAATATCACAGTGGCTAACACCAGAAATGGGCTTCACACATTGTACCCACGTGGGGAAGCAAACCCAGGTCTTCTGGGTGACAAGCCAACATCTGAACCACTAGGCTACCCCATCGCCCCTTGTCTGAAGAAAATGACTTCCTGAATGGGGTTGTCAGGCTCTGTGACATGTAGAGCGTCACAATATCAATCACTGGATTGTCTGGTCCAAACAGTTATTTACTGCTGCCTTCACATAGCTGGGACATAGCTGAATGTTGCATTCAACTATAAACCTCAACTTAAAACTAAACAATACTATATTTGTAGAGAGATTCACTTTGCCATCATCTACACCAATGCATTGTGACAGTACGTGAGGGAGTTGAGTTTGGTTTACACTGTATTGAACAGAATTCCAGTTATTTCAAGGCAGTTCAGCTTGATATGGAAATATAGTACAAGGTGATGAAAGTCTCCGACATATACCAGTTAGTTAAAGCTGATAAACTCAGAGACATGAGCTGGCAAACCAGGGCTTAGATTTTCAAAGCTCTCTTAGCGCTAAGATAGTCGTGAGTTAATGTTAATGTATGGCACTTACGACTATCTTAGTGCTAAGAGAGCTTAAACAATCTAAGCCTAGGGGTTCTAGGATTTGAACCCCTGATCATAGGTTTTTGACTTGCCCAAGGGACACAACTCTGCATAATGAATTGTGCATCTTTGACAACTGTGTTGCCCATGTCCCTACAGCAACCCAGTGAATGATGTTACATGCAATCAGTAACAATATAACATTCTTGACAATTTCTAAACCATGGCGTAATCATTGACCTTCTGATCCTTTCTTTTAACAAGCATACAGATGTGACATGAATGCTGTCTAAATATTTACATATTCTAGACACTAATCATCATAACTTTTTTAGAAAATATGCCAGTTTTTCAGTGATTATTCAAGAGTTACCTGTATCTACATTATTAATACACATATTGACATGCTGTAAATATTAATATCAGTGTTAGGTAACAGAATATGTTACAGTTAGCAAAAATCATCATGTAAAGATATTCACAAATCCACAATGCAGAAACAGATTTTCTTTTGTCAGTTGCTAAACCCAAATTACAAGTATACACCACACCCTGAAACAAACTCTTGCGAGATATATTCTGAAAAATGCATAGTAGCCTATCCATGTATGCATTGTATGGGTATGCCTTGTAGGGGAAACTAATGCAAGAATACAACAGGCAAATATATTAAATAACATCTTTTCTGATGACTAATGTTTGCTATAATAAGTAAGAGGGACCAATGAACTTGCAACATGCTTGAAACACTTATGCTACATTGTTTAACATGAGATGCAGCACAACTGACTCAGCTGGTATATAACAGTTATAAGGTGAAACAATGTGTAACTAAACATGTTGAGATAACTGTGCACATACCATACCACAATAATGCAACATTGTATAAAGGTAGAATAGCCATCTCCTACAAATGAAATTCAACATTGTATTTGACATGGCTTGGTGCTCAGCTGTTAGGACATTGGGCATGTGTGCATTTTGAATCAAATATAAAACAGAGAGATGTGCAAAGATTATATACATTAGGGACAGGCAAATAACAAACAGTTAATCTATCAACTAGCAAATTTTGACAAGAACCAGGTAAACGTAAACATACATTCATAAAACGTATGTCGTGGTCAAACAAACGAGGGGTTTGTATTTCAACAGTCAAGAGTTTTCTACATTGAAGATTAGTATATAATTTAGTTGTATTCATCAAAGATCACCAAAACAAAGCTGTGGGAGTCCAATGAGAAGCACAAAGATATTATGTAATATTACGTTTGTGGCGAAAATGACAGGTCGGAAGTGAAGTCCGATCACATCGCAACAGTCTGGCGCCAATAGCCTTTCCTTATTCTAATTTAACTGTTAACTTATTTACGTTTGACAGTTTCATTAATGTGTAAAGGGGCCATAATCGCAACTTTCCAGGTAACTGCCAAAGGTGTAAAGCAAAGCTAGTCACTGTTAGGTGTGTGTTACGTGGGTACGTTTCACGGGACATTTCGCCACAAACAGCTAGTGCGACAGGTGCCCGTTCCGTCGCGCGTGTTTATTTGCACAATACGGGGGTCTGTGGTGCATACTTACTATTGTAGCATGCTCATGTATTCCTATGTTAATTTCTCCTGCATTTTGCGGGTATATAACCATTGTTTTTAGCTTGTGCGGCACACAAAATAATCAAAATATCAAAATTTTGCATATATTTATCCGAGAACATGGCCGCAGCTTTACTGCGCATGACACCCAGCCCAGACGGGATCAGCGACATCTTGCGGCCATTTGATAACATTTTCTTGATGAGAAGTGTTCTATCCGCAGACTGACTGGGGCATAAAATGGACAGAGAAATACGAAGAAAAACAAATAATCTGTTGATTGCGTAAATTGACTGCAAACGGGAATCATTGTGGCCGGTGCTGTTAACAATAAAGTAACAAATACCATCTACGTGATTTGACGAGATTTTGATTTATGGTGACAGAAGTATAATGGCAGTTGATTGTTTAATCTCGTGTATTTCAATTGGTCTTCAATTAAACAATGAAACCACCCAAGCGTGAATAAGCGCAACGGTGATGAGTGCCCCTTGGTCGTGATGAGTAGCGGGTGCATTGTTGTCACAATAACCGTGAAATTAGCGGTCGGACGGTTATAAACGGGTCGGGCTGATTATAACAACACTTGAGTCGTATCTGGTCATTGAGCCTGTTTACACAACTGACACTTTGGGGCACCCATTTATTATCCGCAATAATTCTCATAATATTTCCCTAAAGAGGGAAGAAAATAGCAACCTCAGAAGTAATTATTACTTATTGGCATTAAAAGAGAGTATATGGTCTCTACATTAACCCTTGACTGAATATAGTCTGTATCACAGTCCCTGAACCACATTATATTCCTTCCACCCGGCCATTTCTGCAATGCTAAAGCTCTTAATGAAGCAAGTCTAGATTTCCTCAGGTTCTGAATGTCCCATCACACTGGGACTCTTTTGCAATTTAAAAAAATCGTTTGTTTTCATCAAAATTATATGTAATCAGAGACTAAGCGTTAGTCTAGACTGAATAGAGTGAATGAACGGGTATTTTCGTCGCTTTCCACAATCTTGTATCCATTGACAGCGGTCGCCAACAATGACATATAGAGGTGTGACGATACAGAAATTTCACGATACGATACGTATCACGATATCTTGGAACGATACGATTCGATTCGATGCATATCACGATATGCTTTCTTTAGTTACTTTCTTTAAAAAATCTTATTTTAATAGCAAGAAATTTTGACATAACCATCAATATCTAATGTTAATTAACAATTTTAAGGTCAACGATACATATCACGATACGAAAAAACGTATCGATATATTTATCGTCAGATAAAGTATCACGATTATCGATATCACGATATATCGTCACAGCTCTAATGACATACCATCAATAAGGGAATCAAACATGTTTCTAAAATTAAACGTACCATGAGGCTGCGCAACAGACCGATGTCCATGCACGAAAAAATAGTTCGATCATATTGCCTTTTTATGTGTATTTTATAAAAGAATACATAGCTTAACGCCTTTAACGTCAAGTAAATGTTGCTTAGAATACTGTATCCTTGAGACTGGAGGCCGTGTGGTGGAAAACACCCTCGAGGCGACTTAATGGAGCGGTTAGACACGGAGACTTGGTTGATTTCCACGTCATCTTACCCCATTGCGTGTATGGATGTTCATGACGTCGATCACTGGGTTGCTTGGTTCTTATCCAAGTATTTCATCCTATAGCTGGGATATTGTAATCAACGGTTTAGGTTCCTTAAATATACTGCACGTACTCTAGAACAGGAATGTGAGACAATAATTCACATGTTGTTAAGCTCCAAACTGTGGCTATTAAAGACACATGAAAAGGCTGAAGAGATAATTACCCCTTATAAAAATGTCCACAAACATATTATGATGAAAATGGTGAGATTTTTTTGGGGGGGTAAATGAACCAAAACTTCGGAGAAAACGGCCCTTTTTTCTCTTTCACCCCTTAAATGCAATACGGGGTAAGTCCGAAAGGGATGTGAGAAAATGCTCAGAATCTCCGATGTCCTACGAAGTTGCAAGGGGGGAGGATCTTTCGTACCGCATTATGTAAAATATAAAGGTGTGTCAAACATTATAAACGAACCTAGATTTCATACATACGAAATTAATATTTTCTCTGTAATCTTGCATACTCAGTGTAATGACCCCAGACTTATGTAATATATGTACATGTAGGAGAAATAAAAACAATCAAATACAGGCAATTATTCAAACAGACTAACTTACAAACATGATCCATGATCGTCGAGTTCAGTCTGTCATACAGACCCTGAAGCAAATATATCCAAGTCATCCCACGCAAGTCTAGAAAATGTGGCAAGTCTAGATTTCCACTGTTTGTGAAAAAGAAGAAAGTCTCAGGGCTCCTTTTCAGTATATATATTTTTTTTCACTATGAGCTTTTTTTTCTCTAAAATATCTTCATTTCAGAGACTAGTTGTTAGTCTACGTAGAGCTATTCAAGATGTGTTGCCGGCATAGATCCGTTCAATAATCATGTTGCAAAATAGCTAGTCGTGAGGATATACCTATTTGGTCGTTACCGAAAGAAGCGCATGTTGATATTCCGGAAAGCGGTGTACGAGTTGTGGAGGGATGGCGTTAGCTTGCCAGCGGGACAGTTACCTAACTCAGGTATATTGTCAGTTAAACTGACAGCCGGCTTGTCATGCGGTGAACATTTTGGATTGCACATATAAAGATCTCAGAGATGACATTTTGTATTTAACATCCCAATGAGTTGATCAAAAGTCTGAAGAAAAGTATATATACAGTATACTGATGCAATATTTTGATTGCGTCATCAGACATTCAAGTTATCGTTCCGCCTTATATTGAACGTGACGATTAATTTAGATATGTTAGATATTGTCTGTAATTAGGTGATGTCAACAAACAAAACCTAATTTGGTGAGGGTGTTAAAAGAGAGTTGGATCATGGTATTTTAGTTGTGGTTCTGAGAAAATGTACAGAGATCTAAATAAAAATGAATTTCTAGTCCTTAAAACCTCTAGCCATGGATGGTTAATATTATTAAGCTTTAATCCTGATTACAAAAAATAACAACTTCAGCGTTAGTTATTATTATGCTCAAGCAACTTGGGGACACAATTGGCTCAGTCATAAAAAACACTGCAATTTCCTGTACAGAGTTGCGTCCATTGAGAGGGACAGCATCCTGTGAATCCTGATTTTGTGTCAAGGTTTGTCAGCCTGTTCTGGTGACTCTCACCAAAGCAGTATTTTTCGAGTTCTCTCAGCTCAGGCTTGCCTCACATGTACATTAAGCTGACATGGTCAGATATAGCAGGAAAATAAATTGTGAAGCAGCTTTAGATGAAAGTCACTCACCCTGAGATTCCCATTTTCATGCCTGGGATCTCCCCACATCATCACAAAGAGTTTGCTGTTGCAGCTGTTAGTGTGGGGATATTTCTAAACCTGCACAGGGTAAATATTCTGTCCCACCTCTTCATCCAGTATCAGTTAACATTCCCATATTATGGATTAAAACATTTTATGGTTCATGTGGTTGTAAGTGATGTTGGTAATCATCTTTACTGAGTTCAATGGTTAAAGTTGTAATCCCCAGTGATGTGTCCCCGGTAATCTTGCTGGAATATTGCTAAAAGCGGCGTAAAACCAAACTCAGTCAGTCAGTCACTGAGAACAGGACCAGTATCAGGGGCGTAGCTACCATTCTGAAAAAAAGCCCGGGCTTACACATGATTTTTGCTAAAAAGGTTAAGCAAGCCCTCAATACTATCTAAATATAAAGCTTTGCAACCTATCGAGCTTACACGAACAAATTGGCTTGCTACATGCGCCTGAGTATGGAGCAAGAGCCTTTAATGCTTACCGTAATTTGTCACAGTTGTAATTGTAGCAGTGTATGGAGTCATCCCACAGATGACATTCTTACCATGTCAGCTTGCTGACTGTGTTAATCTGTTTGGACATGGAAGTCAGACTTCGGATCAGTAGGTGTGTGGTTCAAATCCCAGCACAACTTTTAATGGCCACTACACAATGTTAAAACCGTGAGCTAATATACCTCTCAATTTAGTAAAGAATTATACAAATTCCCAATTTGTAAAAGCCAACACTTTCCCCAATTCGGATTCTAAGGGTGCTTTGTTTGAAATCCAAGATAAATCTCTGCAGTGGTTAAGTCTTGTACTTCCTACTTCATAATAATATGGTTCAGGAAGTGTGAGACAGACCATTGTCGTCGAACAAGTCCTGAATCTCCTGATATCAACAAAATCTATCCATAAAGATTCGGGTTAGAATTGATTTTCAGCCAGCCATGCTTGTCGTATAAGGCGACTAACGGGGAGCGGTCGGTCAGGCTCACTGGCGTGGTTGACACATGTCATTGTATCCCAATTGTGTAGATTGATGCTCATGCTGTTGATCACTGGATTGTATGGTCCATAGTTGGAATATTGCTGAGTGTGGCGTAAAACTAAACTCACTCACTCATTGCCATACAGATGGAATATTGCTGAATGTAGCGTTAAACAACGAACAAACAAAACAACGACATCAACAAAATCAATCACTTATGGAGAGATGCAGGTAGATCCCTGATATTCACATGTTTTTGTTTCAGCTGTGGTCAGTGGTCAAGTCGTGTAAGCCTGCACAGCTGACCGTGGTGAATGGAGGGAAGAAGGAAAAACTGTCGGGCTTTGACGTGATCCTCGAGGATACCGTTCTCTTCCCTGAAGGAGGGGGACAGGTGATTATCTTCAGGATTTGTTGATAAACTGTGAGAATGTCAGTGTGTAAGGCATTATGTTGAAGATTTTGCAAAATACATTTGTCATTTGAACACTTTGAGGACTTTGTGAACTTTTAGTAACACAATCTTCTGTATCATTATGCGGGTATGGGTATCCCATTTGTTTTAGGTTGTGCAGAGTTACCTCCCTTTTACAGGCCAGGACTTATGATCACTGGTTCTAATCCTGGTTACCCAGATCATATTTCTGGGTTTGGTGGCTCCATACTTATGATTATAGGTCAAAACAAAGTGGAAAACACCTGTAACTTGCTTAGAATAACTATGTTATTACTCTGATAATTAACCAAGATGCTTTGTGTTTGTGTTTCAGCCAGATGACCGGGGTTCTGTGAGTATGTTTCTTGTCCTAAAAGACATTGGCCATAAAACAATGCTTAGAATATCATTTCATTTTGGCATAGTAAAACAAGAACATTAAATTAATCATAACAACCAAATTGCTAAATAATTGTTAGTGTGAAATCTACAGATGTGTTTAAGATTAATTTCATCATGTATCAGATGAACATACCATTTTTAAGATGAAACTATGTTGCGTGTTGAACATGAGGTTGATTTCAGTGTGTTTTAGATCACTTTCTTGTGTTCAGGTTAATGGAACATTTGCGTTAAGGATCACTTTGGTGTTCAGTTCAGTAGTGTGTGTTGAGGTTGATTGGTTGGTTTGTCGTTTTACGCCACACTCAGCAATATTCCAGCGGTCTGTAAATATGTGTGTGTTGAGGATCACCCTGGTGTTCAGATAGCACTGATCGCGCTAACGCAAAAACCTGCGAGTTTCACACAAATAAATCTACATTTCATGCACGATATTTTCTACCTGCGTGTTCTGCACGCAAAGCATTTTGTGTTCTGGGTTCTTACATTCCTAAATTACTTCCTAATTCTCATGATGTAAATCCCCAGGTTTATCTATAGCGATCTCGCCCGATCATGGTGAGCAAAACTCCGAACCCCTATATGACCTCCAAACCATGTATGACCATATATGTCACAAATTCATACCCTTTATTTATAGTTGTTCGTGGTTCGAGAGATTTTTAGTCTGTGGGGTAGCCTAGTGTTTTAGGCGTTAGCTCGTCATGCCGAAGACCCGGGTTCGATTCCCCATGTGGGTACAATGTGGAAAGCCCATTTCTGGTGTGCCCAGCTGTGATATTGCTGGAATATTGCTGAAAGCAGGGTAAAACTAAACTCCCTCACTCACTCAGCTAATTTGACTTGCAAATGATGATAAAATGATCTGAAATGCAAGGCTATAATAATAATAATAATGCTAATAATATGTCAAAATGTTATGGGGGTTCTATGCCCTCATACCCCCCCAGGAACCTCGCCACTTCTTTGCTCGAGCATGCACCGCAACACGCAAGATACCAAGGGCTATGCGTTTTAGGAACGCAAAGCTTATTTTCCTACCGCTAACGACCAGTTAAAATCAGGTTTGAAATTGATCTTCAGTAACCCATGCTTGTCGTAAAGGCGTTGATCACTGGTAGGCCTGGATTGTTGACAGGTTGACCCATATAGGCTCCCAATGGAATATTGCTGAGCTCATGCTGTTGATCACTAACCTCACTCACTCACTCCTACCATGAACACTGGAGAGGTAGAGGTATGTGTGTTGAGGATCACTGGTGTTCAGATGAGAAGGGTGCATGTGTTGAGGATCACTGGTGTTCAGATGAGAAGGGTGCATGTGTTGAGGATCACTGGTGTTCAGATGAGAAGGGTGCATGTGTTGAGGATCACTGGTGTTCAGATGAGAAGGGTGCATGTGTTGAGGATCACTGGTGTTCAGATGAGAAGGGTGTATGTGTTGAGGATCACTCTTTTACTTGTATCCATGGACAGTGCTAGGAACAACTGTTTAGTTCAGGGTAGGGTATTGATAGTCTCCAGAAGTGTGTTGAGGATCACTCTATGGTTCAAATCTGTGGAGTGAGTTGAGTTTGACTGTTTCCTGTTCAGATATGTGGGGTGTATCAGAGGTGGAAATAACCCATTGCCCGACGTCCCAGTCCAGTGCTTTTTTCTGTCGGGCAAGCAAATTTGTATATCACGCTGTACCGGTGTCCAGTTGACTTTCCAATGTTAATTATGTAGCTTATATAAAAATTGAACAGGCAAATCAGCCGGTATGGTGGAAAAATTATCAGGCCCCGATTTTTCGAAACAAACTTAAGTCTGAGTTTTGACTTAAGTTCGAATTTTTACTCAAATTTGAGAAAACGCATTTCCCAGAATGAACTGAAATATTAAACTCAAACATAGTAGACAGTTTGAGTTTGGTGAATAGAATACTTAAGTTGTTTGGGCTTTTTTATTAAAAAAGGAAGCTGAGTTCAAAATTCAGCTGTTTTAAATTGTCAAACTTTTGAAATTTGAGTAAAAACTTAAGTTTGTTTTGAGAAATCGGGGCCAGGGCAAGTGACTTTACATGTGCCACTGTCCTGGAGTACACTAGCAATTTTAAAGTTATTTCCACCCCTGTGTATCAAGGGTATATCTCTTGTGTTCAGATCAATGGTGTGAGTGTGTTGAGGATCACTCGTTCGGGGGCAGATGCAGTCCATTTTGTCAGAGAGGAAATACCCCCAGAAACGAAGGTGGATCTGCAGGTTGATTGGAAAAGAAGATTTGACCATATGCAGCAACACTCGGGTAAGTCCTTCCGGAGAGTGACCTGCTCAGCTGTCCTCCATGAAGCATGGGTACAGGTGGCTCAGTCATCAAAGGGGCACAATTTGCTGTGCAGAGTTTCGTCCCTTGCAAAATGGCAGGCCAAAATCATTGTACAAAATTTACGCTGGTCCTGTGGTCCGTGGCTAGTAAAAAATTATCAGGACCACTAAATGATAAGTTTGCAGTGGTCCTGGTGGCCAGTGAATTTTGTATTGATAGTTAAAGGTCACATGCAACGTAAAACACAACTTTGCAGATTCTGATACTTTTCGGTATGGACTTACCGAAACAAATCATCAAAAATGCAAATTCAACTTATAAAGTTGAAATATAACGCGATGAAAAAACACGCGAGAAGTCGGAGTTCAAACGATTCACTAATTTTCCCCAAGCGCTTGGGGGAAGAAAGTGGTTTCAACAGCTGGGCTGCACATGTACATTGAAATGGGTTCGCGCAGCTTGGAAGCGGGTTGTCTGGTGAATACTCGGTGAAGGCTTTGGTGTGAGCTATTTTTCTAATGTTTTGTTGATATTTCACAGACGCGAGCTTTTTATGTTATGACAGTAGATTACCGATTTAACTGTTTATATAATTTCATTTGCTATTTCACCACACGTTCTTCTTACTGAGTCGTTTTCTCAGTTCGATACTTAAAAGCAATGTCATTATTTAGCGTTGACAGAATTTCTAACTGTGATGTAGATATGTCGTTGTCACAGACAAAACTCAATGTCTGTTTTATTGGCACCTATGTGTCTGCCTGCCTGTCTGCTAATGACAATATTCAATACACAACTGCGATCACTGACCACATGCAGTTTGAACTTAACACCTATCAGGCTATACACCATAAACAAAACGCATTGATTTTTGGCCCGAGTTCGGTCTCTGTCACATTATGTAATTACACAGACAGGCAGGTGTGATACTTCTACACATGACATGTTATGATGTCTGTTGATTGCAAAATGTTATACACAAAAAATGAGCTTGTATTTACAAAACCCAACATCTCTATATACCGGTATACAAACACAATGAGCCGTGAGGGCATCTGCAAATGAACCAGCCGTTACACTTGAGTGCACACCCACCCACTCTGACTGGGTTCGGTATCCCGGCTGCTTCGTTTCTTGGGAAGTAAACCCAAGTACAAAATATTGCACTTTTGATTTGCGATTATACGCTTATAATTTTGTTTATGTTTTTTCATAATCAGCAATGTATATTATATGTCATGAATAAGTGACAATTGTGTTTTAATTATGTTTGATTTTTTGGTTGCATGTGACCTTTAAGTAAATCTATGAATGTTATGTTGGACCAGTGAAGTACAGACAGGACCACTAAATTATTATTGTCCACTCACAGTTCCTGTGGTCTCGTGGGAAATTTTGAAAGATTTCTTTCCCTGCAGAATCGTATGAACAAGGGTTCAAATTGTGGTCCACCCTAATTAGGTACCTAGGTTTATCAGCATAATGCCCTTGCTTGTTGGATTCATTCATTCATTCATTCATTCATTCATTCATTCATTCATTCATTCATTCACATCCTGTCTTCTGTGAAGGCTGACATATAATACTCATTTTAAGTATGTTATGAAATTTTGTGTTTGTTAAGCAGGAACTAGGTAAATAGCAACTAGGGGTGGGTATTGCAGGGAATTTTCATATTGCGATATATTGCGATACGAAAGCATGTATTGCGATATGTATTGCAATATATTGCAAGAAGTTATTTTTTAACCAAAAACTACTTATAGTCAGTCGAGTTAATGCTTGATTTATAAAGCAAAAACACAACAAAATCAAAATGCTTGATTAGGCTTTAATAAAAACTTTTAATCATGACAAAATAAAATTGTAAATAATGTTTGACACAAATGAAACAAGGAAAGGAACAATTTAAAAACGGAAATATCCGAAGATTTCCGAGTGTTACAAAGTTTTCCGAATGCGTGTCAAAATACCATTTTTCGATCAGCATATCACAATACGTATCGTTTTCATGTCTGATCCGGTAAATACCGGTAAACCGATTATATTGCTCAGCCCTAATAGCAACACATGTTTTCTTGTTAAAACACAAGTTGGGAAACTGGAAGCTTCTGGATGAAGCCCATTTTACACCAGTGAACAATTATGATGTAATTACAATAATGTCCTTTTATGATACGGCAAAAGCCACTCAACACAATGATACGGGTGAAGCATTACTTTTGCTTGGTAAGTGGATCAGTGTGCTCTCAGAGCTTCAAGGGGAGTATACAATCTGTCAATCTTTAGAATGTTAACAGTCACATTCTCTTCCTATTGGGTACCCATTGACTGCTGGGTGAACAGAGGCATGTTTCAAACCAAGTATCTTGCTCATGGAGAAACTGTATGTGCTGCATGTGCTTCTGGTTGAGACATGGGCATTAGGATCACTATCTAGCTGCCTGTCAGACCTCAGAAAGTTAACAGTCACTTGACCATTTCAACCCTCCGGGTACCCATTTGCGACTGGGTGAACAGAGGCATATTTCAAACAATTTGTTTTGCCTGAGGAGACATTACATCTGCTACCTATGATTGAGGCCCCGTTCCTCAAAGTGAGCATAGCGCTACGACAGTCGTAAATCTATTTTAAATTTAAGGAGTTACGATCATCTTAGCGCTACAATTGTTTTGTGGAACAGGCCCAGTAACAATACAACATGATTCTGTGTTTCAGGACAGCATCTGATCACTGCTCTGGCGGATTCGATGTTTGGCTACAAGACAACATCATGGTAAGACATGAGATTATTGATGGTCAATGTGTGTCATATTGATTTACGGGTGTCAGAATGTTTGTATTTCCCCAGCGATGGTGGGAGTAATACATAATTCCTGCATGAGTTTCATCGAAGCAGTATGACACTTATTATCCATTGTTGCTCTCATGTAATTAGTCATCTTGATTGAATGAAAGTGGCAATTTACCTTATGACATCAACATCCTTTAAATTATTTATGTTTTTGTTATGAATTTGCTAATTTGGTATTCTCCTAAGCAGCAAATGTTTCATCCCCGTGCTGGTCTGAATCCAAGTGGATTCTGGGTAGGATGTTTGTCCCCAGCAACTTACACTTTTTCACAGGAAGCATCTGAATTCTTGGTTGTCAGTGTCAGTTACTCAGTGACATTTCATTGTATCCATATTGCATAGATACATGATTATACTGCAGTTCCTGGATTGTATGGTCTAGAGACTGCCTCCATGGTGTAGTGGTTAGAACGTCTGCCCGGAGAGCGGAAGGTCGCGGGTTCGATCCCGGCCATGTCATACCAAAAGACGTTAAAATATGGTACTTGTTGGTCCCTACCTTGCACTCAGCATTAATGGGTACAACAAGGACTGGTCGGCTTGGAGTCAGTATAATGTGTCTGAGTGGGGTATTAATGCTTATCTCACCCGTGAAGATCCGGGGTAGAATAGGTCTTCAGCAACCCATGTGCTTGCCATAAAAGGCGACTATGCTTGCAGTAAGAGGCGACTAACGGGATCGGGTGGTCAGTTTCGCTGACTTGGTTGACACATGTCATCGGTTCCCAGTTGCGCAGATCGATGCTCATGGTGTTGATCACTGGATTGTCTGGTCCAGACTCAATTATTTACAGACCGCCGCCATATAGCTGGGATATTGCTGAGTCGCGGTAAAAACTAAACTCACTCACTCACTCATTAATGCTTATCTCAGTGAGCTAGCACTATAAAACCAGCCGAAGTCTGGGCTAGTACAAGCAGCCACACATTCACACACATGCACTTCGTCATATGAGCGAAATATTCTCAAGTACAACGTTAAAACCCCATTTCACCTCACCTATGGTCTAGACCTGATTGTTTAACTACCTGCGTGTTGTAGTATACAAGGCAACCTTAGCACTATGACTGTCATAAGTCTAAAGTTAAAGTGTGGAAGTTCATCACCTTAGCACTAATATCACTTTGTACAACGGCACACTGGGCCACCAAGCAATCTTAACACCGGCACCATATTGCTGTGGCGTTAAACAACAAATACAACTTTGGCCTCATATGGTAAATAGGTTATGTAAGTTGATGTTAATAACCTGATAACTTCTTACAATAAAGTTGGTATTGTTATGAAACTTTTCGACTGTCTCTGTTCATCTCACAGCAGCTAACTATTCAGAAGATGATAACCCAAACTTTCCATTTTGTTTCCCAGCTAAATCTGTTTCTTTATTCTTTATTCAGGAATCTGGGAGAAAAGGTGTCCTTTATAGAGCTGGATACCCCCAAGGTGACAGCTGATGAATTGACGACACTTGAGGAAACGGTCAACGCCAAGATCCGAGAAGGTGTCGCCATGACACCCAAGCTGTATGAGAATAAAGATGACCCGGAGCTGGCTGCTGTACGTGGGAAATTATCATCAGTGACCCTCAACAGAATTCTTTGCTTTTCGCTTTCTTGTGTAAAATGATAACCAAGTTAATCCAATCTTTTCATCTGTGGATTTATCGGCGTCAGAATTTTGCAAAAGAAATTGCCTTTTGATTGAGGTTGTGTCTCTTTTATCCTGAGGGTATTATGCCCCCAATTGTTTTAGATATACAGTTATACCATAGAATTCCATTCGTTGGGTGACACTTTTGTTCAACCAATATCTTGAAAACTGATGGTTGGATTGTTTTAGAATTTTGGGATCACCTTCTTTGCCTAAATGAGAGGCAAATTTTGCAGATTTTTGCAGATTTTTTAAAGAATTACAGCAATTTAAAAATTTGAACATTGAAAATTGTTTTTGGGCTCCCAGTCCCCAGATGACCACATGAGTCCATTCACTGTTGTTAAACTAAATACATTGTCTTCAGTACGTCTTGTGGTTTTTAACAGGTTCGGGCTCGCGGTCTCCCAGATGACCATGTAGGCCCTGTTAGGGTTGTTACAATCGAAGGCATCGACTCCAACATGTGCTGTGGCACTCATGTCTCCAGCATGGCACATTTGCAGGTGAGAAAAATACTGATTACAGTGTTTGCTGAAAAATAATATAGTTGCTGATGCATTTACATTTGAAATATATTGAGACTCCGATCAAAATCCAAAACACTAATTTTTTTTGTGAATGATGAAGCTGTCTCAAATGTTATATATGTCCTGCTGTTCTTCCCGTATACCTAATTGGGCTGACCGCCTCCGTGGTGTAGTGGTTAGAGCGTCCGCCCGGAGAGCAGAAGGTCGCAGATTCGATCCCCGACCGCGTCATACCAAAAGACGTTAAAATATGGTACTTGTTGGTCCCTGCCTGGCGCTCGGCTTTAATGGCTACAACAAGGACTGGTCGGCTCAGAGTCAGGCAGTAAAACCAGCTTAAGTCTGGGCTAGTACAAGCAGCCGCACATACACATACACCTACACACACATGCACGTCATCATATGAGCGAAATATTCTCAAGCATTACGTTAAACCCACTTTCACCTCACCTCACCTAGTGGGACTTGTTCTCAGATTTGAGTAGATGACCTTGAGGTTCAGGGTCGCTCAGTATGATCTTGGCATCAGAAATGTTTTCAACATGATAAATGAAGTAATTTCGAATTGAAATTGATTAGGGATATTATGCAACCTCTCTAAGGTAGGATTTTGTCCAACCAACATTTGGGTGAGCGTCATGTAAGGTCAAGGTCACAAGAACTCCCAAGTTATGAAGCATGGTGTAAGTTTCATGAAATTAAAGATTAAGTAGATTAAAGTAGTAAGATGAATAGTAAACTACCTATATAACAAACATATTATATACGAACTGATGGACATAATGAATTTTGTTATTGTTTTCCCTGACAGTTTGAAATGGGAGATAACTTTTTATCTCCCCTTGTCATATCTTGCCAACAGGCGGCATTCTTCTGATATATGTAGTTTACAAAGACAGTTCTGTTCAGACATTTCATAATACGGAATATCTTTACACAAAGCTTATGTATAAATGTGTATTCCTTTAATGATGTTGGGAAAATATGAACTGACTTTGGCTGATTTTTTTTTCAGGCGATAAAGTTGTTGTACACAGAGAAGGGAAAGAAAGGGAAAACCAACTTGTTCTTTGTAGCTGGGGACCGGGTGTTGTCCTACCTGGGACGGTGTTGTAGTGTAGAGAAAACACTCACGGGGGTACTCAAGTAAGTCACCGTGTCATGTTTGGGGTTGGGGGGGTAATACTGCCAAGTGTGACATTAAACAACAGACATACAGTCTCAGTGAGTGAGTGAGTTTAGTTTTACACCACTTTTAACAATATCACATCATGGGACATCAGAAATTGGTTTCACACATTGTACCCATGCGGGGAATGGCACCCAGGTCTTCGGCGTGCCGAGAGAACACTTTATCACTAGGCTACCCCCCCATACAGTCTCAGCAACACAACTCACAAGAAAATGCATTCGTCCTAAAGTCTTTATTGCAGTGGGTTAGCCTAGTGGGTAAAGCATTCGCTTGTCACACGAAGGCCCAGGTTCGATTCCCCACATGGCTACAATGTGTGAAGCACATTTCAGGTGTCCCCACTGTGATATTGCTGGAATATTGCTAAAAGCGGCGTAAAACCATACTCACTCACTCACTATAAAAGCAGCGTTAAAGCTTACTCACTCAATCACTTGTACTTTGCTAAATAAGGACCAAAGAAGTAGTTTTATTTTAAAACATTCCATTGAATACATTAAGATACTTCTGAAATTAACAAAATACAAACATTTACATGTAACAATTTTGAACTTATGAAGAATATTTCAGTGTCCTTCAATCAATATTGCAGAAATAGTACTAACTGCAGTATAAATCCACACTCAGATGGTGACTTTAACCCCAGAGTTCTCTTCAATAAGGGAAAGATGTCTTGTTTCCAGAGGTCCTTTAGACCAGCATGTTGATCTGGCAGACAAAGCTGTGAAGGGCTGGAAGGCTGCCCAGAAGGTAAGGGTTTCTCACTATCCAATAGAATCAAGGCCATCTTGCATTCGTCACCACTCACCTCATTCTGTAACCTCCAAGAAGACTCGTCCCTCTATCAATGCTTGTTATGTGCGAAAATATGACAAACCAATCAGAATACGCATAAATGACTGCAGTGCTTTGGTAAAAATAATCTCGAGTACTTAAATCATTTATGGCATTATGTCATTGTTTAAAAAATCATGAAAATATGTATCATCATATTGAAAGTACAAAGAACTTAGCTAACAGGATTTTGCTGCCTATTATGGTGTTTTTGATAAGAATCATGCGTTTGACAGTGAGAAATTCAAATACACGTATGTGCGTCACGTGAATGGGGCATCTTGATACATTTGTCTGTGGAGAGTTGCCTCCCTTAGGCATTCCAGAATCCTATGATTGTGGGCCCTGATTATGTTTCCTAGTTTGTTTGCAGCATATTTATGCTTCATGGCTTTGACTAGTGTGGTGAGGATCTTGTGATCTACATCTCTTCTGGATTTCCTCTTGCATTACGACTCGTGAAGGTCCGGGTTAGAATACTGATCTTCAGTAACCCATGCTTGTCGTAAGAGGCAACTAACGGGATCGGGTGGTCGGGCTTGCTGACTTGGTTGACACATGTCATCGGTTCCCAATTGCGCAGATCAATGCTCATGCTGTTGATTACTGGATTGTCTGGTCCAGACTCGATTATTTACAGACCGACGCCACATAGCTGGAATATTGCTGAGTGCGGCATAAAACTTAACTCACTCACGCACTCTTGCATTATGCTGACATGCCATGATATAATGGAATAGTGTTTGGAGCGGCGTTGAACACAAGTCACTCTGACTCATGCACATACAGATGCATGCACTCACTCATAGCATCTGACCTGTTTGTGTGTTGTTCCTTGTCAAGAACGTAGCAAATGGGGCACTCACTGCAATGTTGGTCATTTCATATTGAGAGACAACACAAAATTAATAGTTCGAAAAACCATGTACATATTGTAACCTTGTAAGTATTGTAATATTGTAAGAATTTCAATGCTCAGTATCATTTTACCTCAACATGTCCATCCTTGACAGTACTCCGAAAGCAATACTTACAAAATAAATATGGAATTTTACTTTCCTACAATTTGCTTGTAAATGATCCTACAATTTGCTTGTAAGTGATCCTAAAATCTATTGTGTGCATTTCATTTGTTTGAGCCATTGGAGTTTGATTTTTTAAAATTGACTGACTATTGACTTAATGCCATGACACACCTTTTGGACCAGACAATCCAGTGATTGACATCATGAACATCAATCTACTCAGTCAGGATACATCAACCAAGTCAGCACGTCTGACCTACCTGACTACCCAATCCCATTAGTCACCACTTATTATAATGAGCATGTTTACCTGAAAACAAATTCTATTCACAGGTGTGAAAGAACAGTGTTTGTTTTCTTTGTTTCCAGGGACGGTGGGGTAGCCTAGTGGTTAAAGCGTTCTCTTGTCACGCCGAAGACCCGGGTTCGATTCCCCTCATGGGTACAATGTGTGGAGCCCATTTTGAGTGTCCCCCGCTGTGACTTTGCGGCATAAAACCTTACTCATTCACTCAGTTTGTTTCCATTCGACAATTATCATCAATGACATCAATTATTATCAATAACATTATCTGGGTGTTTTTATCCAGATGTCCACAGGCTTGCTGAAGGAGGTAGCTGCTTTGGAGGCTGAAGCATTCAAGTCTAAAGCAGAGAAGGACAATGTGTTTGTGACACATAGGTAAGCTAACGTTCCACTAAAGAACAAATTCGGCACTTAAAATCGAGTAAAATATGTTAACTCAGAATTTGTCTGATGGTATATTCTCTGTAGACTGTTTTGGTGCTCATAGGGGCAGTTGGGTAGCCTAGTGGTTAAAGGAGAATACGAACGAAAACAAAACTTTTGATATATTGTAAAAGATATTCTAAAAGTCACCTTCCGTGATTAAAAGTGAACAAAAAGTTTGTAAAATAGCAATAAAAACACAAAACACGTACTCGTATTTCCGCCTATTACGGAAACACCCGACAGTTAATGAGCAGAGGGGGTATCACGTGACATGACGTCATATGTGCCTGTTGCTGATGGCTTCCTCTATGATTGTACCTCACAACTTAACAGTGTCCATGGATTCTGAAGCAGTAAATGATGTTCCTGATGTCATTTCTGAAATGGATGTTAGACCGTATCAATACGATCCGATTTTACATCTTGCAAGACAATCTTCCTCTGAAGATGAAGAAGAAGAATCAAGCGAAACGGAGGCACCGCTTGAGGTCAAAATAAATTTTAAAATAGACCATATCATTTAACAAGAATACTATTTGTCAGCAAAATGTGATACAGTTCCAACCAGCAAACTCGCCCCTATAAACATATGACCATTCCCAAAGAATTATATTTTTTTAAAATGTGATTCCAGTTCCTTTTGTGTCAAATGTGTGACTGTAGGGTGTCTGGGATGTAAAAAACAAATAATTATGCTTCAGATGGGGAAATAGATATTACCTGCTACAAAAATTACAATGGAATTATTTTGTTGAAACAAAATTAGGATCCTAGTTCTCATTAACAATGTATTAAGTCTCCATACAGGATCCCAGCCTGGTCAAGCAGAGATAATATTTGCGACGCAGAAAACTGGTGAATTATACAATACTAGTCAGGACAACGTATGTTTCCCTAGTTTTGGGTTTGGGAAATAGCAATGGTACTCTGTCATAGCCTTAGAATGACATCTTGTCAGCCAGTGAGAATACAGAACAACTTTCACGGCACACACTACTGACAAATAGCGAGTCTGATGCCGACGTGCGTAATTGGACAAAATGGAAAACAATGAAAGCAACAAGTACTTCGTGATTTGCAATTGTATTCAGCAATGTTTCGGGTAGACTGCAGCATTTAGGGCTCCAAACCGAAAAGAACGTTATAGCGAAACATGTTCAAGCTTATGTGAAATCTCTCACTGATGTTGATAACATATATCTCATGGGTACCAGTCGAACTGACCCAGCTACGAAATGCCCCAGCAAATTTGGTCATTCATTCTAATTTGGTCAAATATATTTAAAATGATTGAATATATGCCAGAAATGCATAGTTTTTGTCAACTTTGATATCAGGTTCTTCATATCTGTAACAGTTATTAGGAAGAAATATTTCTGATAAAGGTTCCATTAGTAAACACATAACTATGTATATATACTTTTATATGAAGAACATGAAACTATGCATTTATGGCCTATATTTAATCATTTTAAATAAATTTGGGCATTTTGACTACCCCCTGGGGCAATTTGAACAAAACTCCGGGGCAATTTTACCAAATTTGCTGGGGCAATTTGTAGCAGGGGCAATTCGACTGGCAATCAGACTTTAATGTTATGTTAAAAATACCACTGACAGTAAGTTGTAACAGGGAATGATGGAGTATAAATGAATCTCGTGGGTCCTTCTTCCTTCTTCAGTCTAGCTTTTGGATTTTCATACCCCATGTGTGCATGTCTCTTTCATATGCGTCCGACTCCGAATGATTGGAACATTTCTCCTGCCTAAATCTGTCTCTTTACTTGGAAAACGGAAGAAATGGTGGCTCTTTCCATTGTTCGATGATTCCGTGCACCCCCAGGCAGCGGAATACACCATCCTACCATTTACAAATGAACGAAACAACACAATTTGTATACTGTAGCTCTTGTTCTTTGGCAATATGGCGGACGCTTGTCACATATGACGTCACGAGCGGAAAGGTCACATGAGTTCCAGCGGAATATGCATAATGCCCGAAGCTCAGATAACAGAAACTGTTTTCGCGATAAAAACATAATAAACCATATTTATGAAATAAAAATTGGGATACATGTTTCTGATGACTTTATCTTTCACCCAGAAAATTATTGCAATTGTCAATTGTCTAGTATCCTCCTTTAAGGCGTTCGCTCTTCACAATGAAGATCTGGGTTCGATACCCCACATGGGCACAGTGTGTGAAGTCCATTTCTGGTGTCCCCAAATATTGCTAAAAGCAGCGTAAAACCCAACTCACTCACTCACTGGTGCTCATGCTATTGACCCTCAGTTTTCAAAATTAATTTCATCCTCAAGGTTGTCATTCTCTTCACACCAGCACAAAACCCAATGCAGTTTCCCTGTCGTTTTGTGGATTAAAGAGGCAGTGGATTAAAGAGGCATTTGGTTAGCCAAATAGGTAAAGCATTTGACTATAACGTGAAAGAATCCCACAGCTTACAGTGTTTTCAACATATTCTTGGTGCGCTCCTCTGTAACATTGGTGGAAAATTAATAATCTCAGAGTCAAAAATGCCAGTGGCCATGTTGGAGGACAAAGGGACACAACTCCTGCAGTACAAGTGGCTTTCTTGTTTCAGGAAGGAGGGTGATGGTGACTATATGAACATCTTAGTTGGGGAGCTGCTGGCTGTCGAGGTGGGTCATATTACACTGGCATTAGCCATTAGCAATCTGTGGGAAATACAAGTGTGTTATGCAAATGACAGTCTGCCATGTGTGTCCATCAGAATTCAGGCTGCATAATTGCTGAAAGGTTGTGTATGCTGCAGCATATACAACAATCATGTCATGATCTGGGAGTTTTGTGCCCTTGTGTTAACCAATACATTATTACTAGTGACATGCAATAATGTTTAGCTTCCAGTTCTGATATTAAGATAGCATGTTGTAGAATGTTTGTTGTTTTGTTTGTTGTTTATTCCAGCTGTCAGCAATATCCAGCTATATGATGGTGGCCTGTAATTACAGGGATAGCAATTTTCTACTGATCTGCAGAATTTCCACCAATTTTATTTCAAACTGATCAATTCTGTGAATCCTCTAAATCCATTGAATTCCCTGAATCCCCCAATTCGATGACACAATATTAAGTTTTCTGCTTAAAAATAGATTTTCCTGTTGCCATAGGGCGGTGGGGTAGCCTAGTGGTTAAAGCATTCGCTCGTCACACCGAAGACCCAGGTTCGATTCCCAACATGGGTACAATGTGTGAAGCCCTTTCTGGTGTTAACCCCCATGATATTTTTGGAATATTGCTAAAAGCAGAGTAAAACCACACTCACTCACTCACTGTTACCATCCCTGTATCTAGTTGACTTGCTGCAAGGCAATCTAGTGACTGACTACGCCATGGTTGCCATGACATGCCATCACACAATTCACTGAGCCTGACCACTTTTTAGGACAAGCATTTGTTTCTGGGATCTATAGTCTTACATGAAATACATTTTCAAAGCAATGCCACAGCCAGTTTAGTCGCTGATGTCCGTTGCACTGCTTCCATCAGTACGTCGATGTAGTTATTCCACTTTTGTGAATGCTTTTCTTCACACAGGGTTTGAGCTGCCTTGTGACTGTGGGAGATGAGAAGGCGGCCGGGCTGTTTGTGTTCGCTGGACCGGAAACTGTTGTCAAAGACATGGGGCCAAAGTAAGGACTTTAATTATGAAAGCTGATTTGATGTTGGAGGTCTTCATTGAATATGATATAGTAACACCATCTAGAAATTTAGTATCAGTCATTATTACCCTTTAGAGAAATTAGAAGTCTGTTGATTGGTTAATAGCCATTGCATATGAAACTGTACTCTAAAGTTTGATGGGTATTGGGAATCCATCTTACCTTATTATGATGTGATGTGATGTGAAATTGGGTTTAACGTAGTGCTTGAGAATATTTCGCTCATATGACGACGTGCATGCGTGTGTATGTGTATGTGTATGTGCGGCTGCTTGTACTAGCCCAGACTTAAGCTGGTTTTATAGTGCTAGTCCACTGAGATACCATGCCGTAGTGAAGTATGAATACCCCACTCAGACACATTATACTGACTCCGATCCGACCAGTCCTTGTTGTACCCATTAATGCCGAGCGCCAGGCAGGGACCAACAAGTACCATATTTTAACGTCTTTGGGTATGACGCGGTCGTGGGTCGAAACCGAGCCTTCCATCCCTCCGGGCGGACGCTCTAACCACTACACCACAGAGGCGGTCACCTTATTATGACCTTGGATATTGAAATCCAACTCACTTGGAGCAATCAACTATTATCATTGCAAAAAGTTCTTTTTATGAACATTATACTATTTTCTTATCTATGAAGTGGAAATAGATTTTACCTACAGATGTATACTAAACAGGTATTATTTGAAATATCAACTCCTTAAAACAATATGTTAACCTGTAATTTGCCAGGTAGTATATGATAGTATGGCTCGTTTGAAACTAATATTCCTGATTGGACAGGAATGTCCCTATGGTCATGTAGATTGAACATCTGCCTGGATGTTGAAAGTCTCTTTGTTTTATCACTGCATTTAACAAAAGATACTAAAAGTTGGTACCCTGTTGTTACCCTACACTGACAAAGCCTGGTCAGTTTGGAGTCAGTTTGGGTGACTGGAGTATCCTTGTTACAGCTACTTGGTATCTCGGTGAGTAGTACAACAAAGCCAGCATTATTTCGGACTAGTAAACACAGCCACACACACCCATGCCTGCATGTTGTTATGTATAAATCTTAAATGCAATATTAAACCCCATTTAATCTTGCCTCATTGTACAGAGGAGTTGATAGAAAGGATGTTGGATGTCTACTAAACAGTTATCTCTCTTCCTTCCAGAATCTGTGATCTGCTGGAGGGCAAGGGCGCCCTGAGTGGGGGGCGGTACCGGGGCAAGGCCAACAAGATGGCCAACCGTGGCAAGGCTGAGGCAGCATTACGGGACTACTTACAGCAGACGAAAGCTGAAAGTTGATTGTGTTCACCACAACTTCCGTCATATGTTGCCTGTGCAAGAAAGAAGATGACTTTGAGATCATAATAAACCTGTTCATTTTCAACACATCTGAATCACCTTAATCGATGAACTTTCAGAATGATTCCTTCATTCTTGTTACTGCAGGATAGTTAAGATGTCTTTCTGTGCTGCAGATGTATCTTTGTTACAGAAGCAAAAGCCTTATGAAGTGATGTTATGGAAGGATTTTAGTATCCTTATGATTGCTTGTTTTGTGCTTTGATATGATGAATGGAATGATTATTTTCTTAAAATTAAATACTAATGTTTGACATGATAAGTGCTTCCGTTATCATAATGACAGCAGAGTATATTGTTTTATGATGTGTGTGTGTGTGAATTAAGCTAATGTAATATGTATGTATCATTCTTATGAATCTGGCTCAATAAAACCACTAGAATGGGTTTGTCTTCTCTTAGCAAGTTGTAAAATGTCATTGCCTTGGAACTGCTTATATTACTAAGTGCAGCATTAAACAAACCAACCAATGGAACGTGCACATCATGACAGCATTTTTTGTTTTCAGACAAACATACATATATCTTAATTTTCATGAATGAAACAACTTAAGATGAATTTGTCACCATTTGACAACTTTTATGATTGTTTTTGATGGGAGTAGAATGTACTTTGCCAGTTTGTATATACTGAGTCAAAAAAGAAACTTCACAAAATGTAATTTTTAAAAATAATGAATAATTTTCCTCTGATGATACATCTATGTATCCGAAATGGGATCCCTATCTTTCGACTCTAGAAAAACGTTAGAAAAACCCACTCAAACCCATCCATTCGTCCTGCAAATGACGTTAGTGCCAAGTCAGGTGTTGCACCTGCAGTCGATCAGGTGTTGCACGTGTAGTCGATCACGTGATCTTCGCATCAAAGTTTTCTTCATATGCACGTGTTTGCATTGGCCTCAAGAATTGAAAAAAACACTTTTAAACCACAGTTCTAACGGTACTTGAAATGCCACGATTGTCAAATGTGCAACATGAACGTGCCGTTGGCATGTTGCAAGCGGGAAGATCAGTTATTGACGTCACAAGAGCAATGGGATGCAGCCGTCGTACTGTGTATGACTTGCGAGGTCGTCTACAACAAACTGGCACCACTTCTGATCGCCCAAGGTCGGGTCGTCCACGTGTGACGTCACGAGCAGAAGACTGTCAAATCGTCCTACGTCACCTACGTGACAGATTTGTGCTGGCTACTCGAACCAGGGCTGAGATGTTTAGAGGTCGACTCCTCACAGACCATTCGAAATCGGTTGCGGGCTGCCAATCTCCATTAGAATATTTATTCTTGTGACTTGACATTCTGTATACCCATGTTTTGGAACGGCGGTGTAGCCTAATCAAACTGATTATGGCACTGTCAGTGTATCGAGTACATCACACAGATCTCAGCAATGAAATAATAACAATTTAACCATCTTACCATCATCTTGTTCTTTTATAGTGCCCTGAAGAAAGAATGTGAAGTTTATTTTTTGACTCAGTATATTTAAATGCTGTTGTGAATTATATATCTTTTGTAATTTACCATATATTTGTGTTAAGGGTTGTATAGAGGATGGTCAGAAGCCTATGATATTGCTGGAATATTGCTTATGGGTTGCCCGAAGTGGAAAATGTCTCATACCTGCATCACCTCAGACTTTCTCCCACATTAAGCTAACACGGTGCTATATAACTGGAATCCTGTTCAAAGCTGTATTAAGAGCAGCTTGCTTGCTTAACAGCTGGACCAACTGAACGTCTTAGCAGGTCATTCAAACACCCTGTACTTAAGGGGTGGTGGGGTAGCCTAGTGGTTAAAGTGTTCGCTCGTCATGCCAAAGAGCCAGGTTCAATTCCCCACATGGGTACAGTGTGTGATATTGGTAGAATATTGCTAAACGCAGCATAAAACTAAACTCACTCACTCACCCTCTACCCTTATGACTGTTGTTTGTAGCCAATGTAGTGTAGATTAATATCTTAGCAATCATGAACTTAATGAACATTAATATCTTTGAATTAATTACATATTACTCGCAAGTAGTTAACTGTAGGACTGTCTGTTTAATATTCTAATATTTTTTAATGGCTGTTGAGATTTGAGACAGAATATTTTTTGTGTCAACTGTTCAGCACATGTATTACCCATCAAAAGTTTAGACTCACTAGTGTAAGTAGCCACTTAATTCAGTCACCTGTTCTAAACTAGATTTTGTAAAATATTGCATTCAGTTGGAAGGTACTGTGTACACATGAACTAATGTATTGTAAAACAAATTGTAACGTTGAAAAAATTATTGTCATGAGTTCAGTAAATGATGAAAATCAGTGAAAATTGGCGTATTATTAACAAAACTTTATACAAAAACGCAGCTGTTCACATGATAGTTATTTGCACATGCTTTTCAGCATGATCCCTGTTCAATTCATCTGCATAAGGTTTGCATTTGGTTCCCCAAGTTCACCCTCGAAGTAACCATATATATATGCATAACACATAGTGAGTGCTTCAGGTGAGTCTAAACTTTTGATGGGTAGTATATGAGATCCCTCCATGTCCATAGAATGAGTGAGTGAGTGAGTATGGTTTTTAGCAATATTTCGGAATATAGCGGGAGACCCCACAAATGGGCTTCAAACACATAGTGAGTGCTTCAGGTGAGTCTAAACTTTTGATGGGTAGTATATGAGATCCCTCCATGTCCATAGAATGAGTGAGTGAGTATGGTTTTTAGCAATATTCCAGAATATAGCGGGAGACCCCACAAATGGGCTTCAAACATTGTACCCATGGGGAATCGAACCCGGGTCTTCGGAGTTACGAGCAGATGCTTTAACCACTAGGTTGCCCCATGTCCATAGAGCAGGAAGTCAGCAGTTTCATCCACTGTCAAACCTAAGTGTGGTTAAAATAAGGTACTTCTTGTTACCCTGCCTGGATGTCAACATGGAGGGAATGTCGGGACTTTAGAAACCTCTCTTTTTGGAAAAGTAATTTGGGAAAACACTTTTAAGAATTGTGAAGATGTCAGCCTACTCATATGTGACAAAACTTGCTGATATATATGTAGATAAAAGTTGCTTTGTTGACAGCCTTCTTCAATATGTCGTGGATGTATTAACAGGTTATTTTGGAAGCCCTCTTTGTGTCCCATGATAAATCACAAAAAGTATGAAATGTGCCATGTTATGGTTACTGTAACCATTATATTTCGGATAATTTCCAAAATACAAAATTAAAACTACGGATGAAACTCAATTATATGACATTAAATGACAATATATTTTTTAATAATAATAATTTTTAAAAAGATACATTTTTGGGTTCGAACTTGTCAAATCTCTAATTCAACACTCAGAATGCTATCACGCATTAATCAATAGGCAAAAGTTATGTCCCTTGGTTTGTTTTTAAGGTTGAATGATCAAGGCAGTTGCTGTTCCGACTCAATGGCTGACGACTCGGGTGAGTATAAACGCTGAACTTATAGTGCTGTCTTGTCGGTGATCTTGTACTGCAGCGGAACTGGTCACGCGCGAGCGGTAATAGTGTGATTCCATGTGATGCAGGACGATGAGTCGGTTGTTCGGACGTCAATAATTGACCTTTTGTTATCGACATGTATAAATAGCCATTTGCTGTGCGCGTTCGTATATCTCCCTAACGATGTGGAATACACACAAAGGATTGATACAGAAATTCACGTTTTTCATGAAGTAATATGATAATCCAATGCTATATAATATTTAGATATTCCATCAAATACATGTTCATTGATGCACGCCTCAGGACATATGATATGTATTTGCGCCAGATGTTTAGGCGTATGTACTTGAGATTCCTTAAATTTTCTCTTGGTGTAAATTTAGTACGTTTTCCGTGGATTCTGAAATAAATGTGCACAATTATTTTCTGATATTATAAACAAACTGGGAGTAACGCGCTCTTGCACCTGCTCGGACGCATGTGTGATCGACTGTGAACAGTTTTCTATGACAATACGACCTGCGTTCGCTATTCAGTTGACTGAAAAGCACATGCTCTGAGTCAAGTCAGAGACCATATACCATCTATTATATGGTCTCTGGTCAAGCACAGTTACTTTTCAACGCCCATTGCCTTTCAATTGCCCTTTTGCTATTGCAAGGTAACTTTTTGAATTTCAATTAAAGTACTTGAATATATGTACACACGGTGACGCATGGGACAGGTGCGTGGCAACTGATGGGTATTTGTTCGGCTTTGAGATTTGTCACCTGAGCCAATTTCCACAACCTTCGTTTCATGACTGCCCAGCACGTATACATTCTAAAGCTATGTTTGTCCTCGCCTTCCCAGAAGACTTTAGTTCATGTAGCTCCATACGCGTGTTGTAATTCTATCCTCATAATGGGCATTTCTGGACAGGTGGACAGTCTAATGACGCCAGTCGCTAAAAGGTACAATCTAGCTATTCTATTCGTATAATCCAGAAATAAGGATTGAAGCTAATAAATATTACTTTCAGGACGTGTCTGTTCGAAAACGTGTTTTATTTTCACGCCAGGACTTGTTCGTGATGAAACTGATAAAATAAAATTGTGTTTATTATGGAAGTTAAAATATGTTTTAAAATACGTACCAGCACACTGAACGTGTTTCTCTTCAGCATTTGTGGCCAACTGTTTGTTTCAGGGAACACACTAGACTAACGATTAGTCTCTGAATATATGTCATTTTGATCGAATCAAACAATTCCTTTCATATTGAAAATTAGTCCCAATGAGAAGAGATACGCCTGACTTGATTCATTTAGGGCTTTAGCATTGCAAAAAATGCTAGTCAGAATGGAAAATAATGTGGTTCAGGGACTGTGAGACAGACCATGGATGCATGCACAAAGACGCATTAGATGTTGAGGGTATGCTAAAAACAATACAGGTACACAGTCAATACAATACAGATACGATGTCAATACAATACAGATACGCAGTCAATACAATACAGATACGCAGTCAATACAATACAGCTACGCCGTCAATACAATACAGATACGATGTCAATACAATACAGATACGCAGTCAATACAATACAGATACGCAGTCAATACAATACAGCTACGCTGTCAATACAATACAGATACGATGTCAATACAATACAGATACGCAGTCAATACAATACAGCTACGCCGTCAATACAATACAGATACGCAGTCAATACAATACAGCTACGCCGTCAATACAATACAGATACGCAGTCAATACGATACAGCTACGCAGTCAATACAATACAGCTACGCTGTCAATACAATACAGATACGATGTCAATACAATACAGATACGCTGTCAATACAATACAGATACGCAGTCAATA